TAGTTCTCCAACTGGAAATACATCTAAGGAGATTTATAGAGGGTTAATGGCTGGCCTCTTCCCCAGCCTCACCTGCTTCCGTCCTAGAGGGCAGGTACAAAGTAAAAACAAGGAGACAGCCTTGAATTCTGAGAAAGGACAAGACTGAAGCTCCATCCAACAACAGCTGGGCTTTCTGAAGAGATGGACCTTTTAGAATGTGGGGTTCTTGGTGCTCTCTGAGCTTGGCTGTTTTCTCACAGATGTCTCATCACCCAACTAGGTAACATCATCAGTCCAGGAAGGAAGGAAGGAAGGAAGGGAGGGAGGGAGGAGGAGGAGGAAGAATGCTTGGTGCTCTCTGAGCTTGGTTGTTTTCTCGCAGACGTTTCATCACCCAACTAGGTAATATCATCAGTGCTAAACGAGAGTGGGGTTGGCTCTCTTTTTATATACTAGCAGCCAAACTCAGGATCTGTCCTTTCTGCAATTGGGAACACAACAAGCACATTTCGTTCATTCTGCTTAGTGCTATTTTTATTCTGTCTGACTAATCTGATCAAGGCCGTACGTGGCTTATGATTCAAATCTCAATACGTTGTTTTTTTTACCCCAACCCAGATATTTCCGTCCACTTGTTCTGAGGTGTAATTGACAAGCGCCAGGGGCCTGTATTATTATGGCAGAGCTTATCAGCTGGAATCGTTTCATTCAAAATCTATAACTCCCCAAGTGATCCGTCAATATTCCACCCGGAAAACTAAAACAAGGAAAGGAAAAAAAAAAAGATGATTTTCCGATGAGTTAAATGCAGCAGATATGCACACAGAAATGACCACATCAAGGATGAGTGAAGCAAATACCTTATATGTGCATGCTTTGTAGCCAAATGTCTCCAGCATCAACTCATTTTCTTAGATGGGACAGAGAAACGAAAAGTCCTCCATCAATCTGGCAGGGATGAATGTCTTTGAATGCCTTCCAAAATTGTGATTTCCTTTACAGAAAGTGGTCAGACCTAAAATCAGTGGCCTATTGCGGTCTTTTCTCCCAGTTCTTACTGAGTTGATCCTTTCTCAGAAATCAACATTTATTGGAGAAAAAGTTTGCAATATGGTGTATTAGATAGAACTATAGAACTAAAGAACTGGTGTGTATCCCTATATAAATATATAATCAATGCATAGAAGACAGTATATTTTATAAGCGGGGGGGGGAGGGCGGAAGCTAACTAAAAACTATGAAGGGGAAAATTAGAAAATCCCTATGATGGAGGCTCCAGATGAAAAAGGGACAGGGGACTTTAAAAGAGGAGGAAGGAAGGAAGGAAGGAAGGAAGGAAGGAAGGAAGGAAGGAAGGAAAAGGGAGGGAAGGAGGGAGGAATGAAGGAGAGAGGGAGGGGGGAAGGAATGAAAAGGGAGGGAGGGAGGGAGGAAAAGAAAGGGAAGAAGGAAGGGTGGAGCACCTAAAAGAGGGCTGAATTATATACAGTGCAAATGAAAGAGAGAGAAAATAGCTATTGAAATGATATAAATTCCTTCCATGCCATCCTGACCGATTGACTTTTTTTTTCCCAATGGTGAACTCAAGTGAGATGCTGGCGTATCATATCGTCCAAAACAGATTATCCTACCTGGATGCGTTTCCAAAATAAATCCAGATTAGAAGAAACGGTGTCAAACACCCCCCCCCCCCAAGAAGATGACCCTATGATCCGCTCTTTTTCTGATTCACACGTGGACGGCGGGATGCTCTTTTGGGGTCGGCCAGGAGCAAGGCACGTGGGAAACACAGCAAGGGAAAGCAACGGGGACACAATAATTTTTGTCTCTGCCGCGTGGGTTACATAACACAATTGTCTTAAAAAAAAAAAAAGCTAGCAGAAACACTCCTGGCCCAGGGCTAAACCTCCTTCTGCATCTCCCTTCAGTGGTGTTTGAAACAGGGGTAGAGAGAGACACAATTGGGTATTATATCTAAAACAAGAAGCAACCAGTCTTTCTTGCTCTTTAACCACTGTTTTTGAAAGTTGGACCATAAAACGAACGCTGAGCGCCAAAGAATGGAGGGCTTTGAACTCTGGTGCTGGAGAAGAAGACTCCTGCATTGAGTCCCTTGGACTGCAAGGCCATCCAACCGGTCAGTCCTAGAGGAGGTCAACCCTGGCTGCTCTTTAGAAGGCCAGATCCTGAAGAGGAAACTCAAGTACTTTGGCCACCTAATGAGAAGGAAGAAGGACTCCCTGGAGAAGAGCCTCGTGCTGGGAATGATGGAGGGCAAAAGAAGAAGAAGGGGATGGCAGAGAATGAGGTGGCTGGATGGAGACACAGAAGCAGTCAATGGACCCCAGAGGATGGCAGAGGACAGGAAGGCCTAGAGGAACGTTGTCCATGGGGTCAGACCCAACTTCGCAAGTAACAACAACAAACCACTGTTTTGTTCTTTTCTTCCTTTTTTAGAGGGGGGTCAAAAATTTTAGCCATCTTTTAAAAGTGAAATAATCAAAATAAAAAGAAGTTGCATCAATGGGAGGATAGAATCAAGATCACACGAAGAAGCACTTTATAAGGCCTTGGAAAGACACACATCCAATCCTGCCTCCAGTTTTGATCACCACAATATTAAAAAAAAAAAAGATGCTGAGACTCTGGAAAGAGTGCAGAGAAGAGCAGCAAAGATGATTAGGGGCCTGGAGACTAAAACATATGAAAACGGTTGCAGGAACTGAGTATGTCTAGTTTAATGAATAGAAGGACTAGGGGTGACATGATAGCAGTCTTCCAATATTTGAGAGGCTTCCTCAAAGAAGAGGTGATCAAATTATTCTCCAAAGAACCAGAGGGCAGGACAAGAAACAATGGATGGAAACTAATCAAAGAGAGAAGCAACCTGGAATTAAGGAGAAACTTCCTCAGAGGGAGGACAATTCACCTCCAGAGGTTGTGGGGGCTCCACAGAGGTGGGTTGCTATCGGTTCGCACCGGTTCAGGCGAAGGGTAGTGGAATGTTGGCCTGGATGGCAGAACCGGCAGCCACACAGGCTGGCCACGCCCCCAAACCGTTTCCCCAGTTGCCACAGCATGTTTTCTGGGCATCATTTACTGGCAACTGTGAGCGCATGCACCAAAGAGGCCGTACCGCTGGCAACAACCCACCTCTGGTGCTCCATCCCTTGTGGCTTTTAAAAAGAGACCGGGCATTTGCCTGAAATCATAGGGTCTCCTGCTTGAGCAGCGGATTGGACTAGAAGACCTCCAAGGTCCCTTTCAACTCTCATTATTCTTGTCCTAATTTTGGTCATAAGTCAAGGATAGGTGCACCTGTGCATAGTGCTCCGAGTACAATCCCATTTAGGTCTATTCAATGCATTTAGGTCTAAATTGCTACAATCCGTTTGGCCAATGACTTTTTTTTTTCCAAAAGAACAAAATCTGCAAATCATAAAAGCTCGTCTGTCAAATCAAAGGAGCAGCTTTCTTTCAGAACACGGAGCAGCCGCTCAAAGCCTCTGCTAAATTGACCTGAATTAACCTTTTAGTACTTAAGGATGACTCCTGACCACACATTATGCGGCTTGTGCTTGTTGTACATGCTGCATAACAAATACCTCAGGCTTCCATATGCTGAATTTAAAGTGCATCTACACCTTAATTGGCTGGGCAATAAGACAAGTCGAGTAAGAAAATAATATGACTCAGCACAGAGCGAACTCCACAGGATCCGTCATTCCCTGTTTGTTTCTTCAATTCCCTCCTGCCACTTTTCATCACCACGTGCAAATTGCCATTCTCCACAACTACGAGAGGTGAGAGGAACCTGGGTTCCAAAGGGAGCTAGAAACTCTGCAGTCCTACCAAAACTTAAGCAGCTCTCCAGGTGTTCATCCCCACCAGGTATTTTAAATTAGACCCTTCTTCAAATCCGGAGGTGCAGGAATTTATCCAGAGCATTCAATTGTCCGAAAATACACCCCACCCCACCCAAATTATTCTGCCTTAAATGCAGCAAATCCCTCCATTCGTGTGCGCTCAGGAGGAGTTAATTTATTCAGCCGTAGCGCACTGTCAAACCCAATGAGTTAATGGACAACGAAGGCACCGCACAATGCTAGAAGCAGAAGTTAAAAATGCATGTGACCTTTTCAATAAAGAATCCCAGATTCTGTAATATCTCACACTGTTTGAGAAGGAGACCTAACCTAGCACTGGCTCAATATGTCAATGAAGACAGAGGTCAAGCTATTCTCCAAAGCCCCCGACGGCCAGACAAGGAACAAGGGTTGGATTCTGACCAAGGAGAAATTCAACCTAGAAATAAGGAGGGATTTTCTGACAGTGAGAACAATCAACCAATGGAACTGAAGTTGCCTTCAGAGATTGTGGGAACTTCATCACTGGAGGCTTTCAAGAAGAAACTGGACATTGTAAAAAAGATGTTGAGACTTTAGAAAGAGTGCAGAGAAGGGCCACAGAGATGATGAGGGGACAGGAGGCTAAAACATATGATGAAAGGTTGCAGGAACCAGGCATGGCTAGTCTAGTGAAGAGAAGGACCAGGGGAGACACGATAGCAGTGTTCTAACACTTGAGAGGCTGCCCCAGAGTGACCAGCCCATGGGGCTCCCGCAGGCCTGCCTG